CTTTTTTTTTCTTCGTGTCGTTTTGCTTCAACAAACTATAAAACACGCAAAGAAAAACAAAGAAACAACCGCGCCCCCTCACCCAGCAACGACATATGGGGCCGACAATAAGAAAAAAATGGCCAATAGAACAAGACACGGAAGCACACGACAGAAAACACAACGGCAGATCAGGATTTTGCATGAAATTTACAAAATCTACTAGATTCAATGGCTAAGAATTGAGATACAATATTGTTAAATCTCATCTAGATGTGATTAGAAAATTCAGAAAGAATATCTCGATCCAGACTACGAAATGAAACATTAATGTTGCACTCAACCCAGCCGAGCTGGAAATTGGGGGAATTAAATTTTGGAGGTAGATTTTTGGTTACTGACTTTCGAATGAATTAGAGTTACCCTAAGTCAAAGATGAAACAAGCTTTAATGTTGTAAAGGTTATTGCTAGTTGTAATGGCAAGTATCATATAATAGTATCATGCATATGATATTAGTGTATGATACTACATTTGTAGTGCATAATATCATATGTTAGTATCATAGATGACTTCATTTATTAGCATGCACGACACATAGTAGCACAACATTTAATATGATACGGTATCATGATATGATACCGAAAACTCAAAACGGTGCCCGGGCTCATCTGCTCCCTCTCAGCAAAAAATTCAAAACAAATACTAGAAAATTCAAAAAATTCCAATTTTTTTGTGGTGGTAGATAATTTGACGCGCGAGGTGCGCCCCAAAATTCAACTTATTTGGACATCTGAGTAGCTCTCGGCAAAAAAGACAAATCGGGTCAAAACAGTGCGTAAACAGTAAATATTTTTACAGATCCTGATTTTGTCTTTTTTGCCGAAAGCTGCTGAGATGCTCAAATGAGTTGAATTTTGGAGCGCACCTCACGTGTCAAATTATCTACCGCACAAAAAAATTTGGAATTTTTTGAATTTTTCTAGTATTTTTTTGAATTTTTTTCTAAGCGTGGGTGCAGCCGAGCCCGGGTGCAAATTAGCCGCACTCGATATGATACTCAACTCTCTCTTTCTTCATTTAATTCTATGCCACCTCATCAAATTTACCTAGTTGGCATGCATTATACTACCTATGATACTCCCATTATGACCAGCCTAACCGAAAATACAAAGATGAACATGGTTTCACGTGCACCCACGGGAATAGTAAATTCATAAAAAAATCTGAAATTTCGCGGTATGAAACTTAGTCGACCATTCTACTCAAGTGTTAAGTTTCGTGATGTATTGACACCCATGATATTCTTAGTGAAAAAATACAATTGTGACCATACTATTCATCAACAGTGTTTTTTTAATATAGATTTGATTTTGTCATTTTTGCCCGGATTACCCCGGACGTGATTTCTTTGTGATACTTCATACGCACGTAGGTCCGAAGATGAGTTAGAGTTAGGAAAATAATTTTCTTTTTGAAAAGGAAATATATTAATATTACGAAGAACCAATTACCTCAGTCTCTGCACCAATAAGATGTCTCAAAGACATCCAGGATGTACATAGCTTGAAAAGAAAAGAAAAAGCAAAAGAAAACAAACGCCTCACCATAGTGTCAACTCCTCTCACCAGTAGCACACAAACCACCACTAAAGACAACACTTTAAAAACATGAAAGGTCTCCAAAAACGACGCCTTCAAGATGAAAACAATGCACAAGCGTCGTCGTCGCCCGATCCAAAATCTTAGGTTTTCGTTCTGGAGAAAGTCCGAACTCTAAAAACAATTACCTTCAGCAAGATAATGGCAGACATAATCAATGAAGTTCAAACCTTAGGTTTTCACCCTGAAAGTCGTGACTCGGCACCCGGGGAGAACCACCAAAAATGAAATCCTTCAGTGTTGCCGCCCCCACTTGTCACTGCTGCTTTTGAAAGTTATTAAACACCTGGCTGACTCTGTCGCCCATTGGCTCCAAGGCCCCCTCCAGCTTACTAATCCTCCGATCTCAGCCACCATGACCTTCCCCACCGCTATCTACGCCATGAAAATCAGGATAACGACATGTCCCATAGTGTCAACAAACAACAGAGCTTCGTGTCGCGCCCTCATGGAGCCGCGTAGTCTGATATGGACGCGCACAACCGGATTATATACGATCCAAATATCCTTGGGCACGATCTCCCGCAACAGTTTCGGAATACATCGATGGCCAGATCGAGGAGGATCAATTATGGTTGAATTTTTTTATTAACTGCAATTATACGATTACCCGCAAAAAAAAACTGCAATTATACGAGAACGACCTTTACTAAAAATAGAAGAACCATAAAGTTGACCATGCACTATTCTACCACGCCCTTGGAGACGCGCCAACCAAACCCATCCACCTGTGTATTAAAGTAAAGGGTTAAAATCTTAATCAATCAACTTGTCGTCACCATGGAGTATCATTCTCCAACGTCCCTCTCATAGTTCCACAAACAACTCGCCTCGATTTTAACCCTTCGTTCCAGCAACTTACATTTGATCAATCCCTCTTCACAGACCTTGCACATTCATGGAGCAAAACAGCACGCTTCTTCGGCGCGTGCTGCAGAAGGCAGCACGAGCAGCAAGAACCATCGCTTACCTCCGCCCATCTCCTCCTCCGACACCGTCAACACCCTGCCGCCGTCTCCCGCCCAGCCTGCTGGACTGCACTGACGACGACGACGGCGGGTCTCCGAGCTTCCACACGGCGGCAAGCACGCCAGCGGAGACGCCGCCGTCCGTCCACTCGAGGATAGACAGCCCTGGCGCCGCCGACATCGACAGCCGCGCCGCGGAGTTCATCGAGAGGTTCCGGCGCAACGCGTCCCTCGAGCTGCGGTACTGCTCCCCGGTGACCCCCGCCAGGCCGCCCGCGTCGCCGGACACCTACTTCAACCTCTCGAGGCTGCACGGCCCGGCGCTGGCACATGCGCGGCCGGTGTGCAGGAGGAGCTCGCCGGGGGCGAGGGCGAGCGCGAGCGCTACGTCCATCAATTGGCCGAGTACCACGTGCCTCGGAAGAAGGCCTACTGTTCAGGTGTAGCAGTAGCGGTGAACCGGTGGTGCTCCGCATGCAAACCGGAAGAGTCGCGTTCGATCGGCGTAGTCAGCCCTGGCCAAAAACCGGGTAAGACAAAGCTCGATCGCCAATTAGGAAGTCATTCAGTACCATGGCATTGACATTCAGTCGGGAGCAAGGGGATGGCATATGCCTCTGCTCTGAAGGACCCTCGATCGCAACCGAGATGGTTTTGTTTTCGCGACCTTTTGCTCTCTTTGTTAATAATATTGTGACTATTTTCTTTCGATCTGTATGAATAGCAGGCGGTCTCTCTTTTCCCTTACAAAAATGATTCAGTTGTATTCATTCCGTCCCATGATAAAAGATGTTATTACATGGAAGCGGATTCACTCGGGTGCTCCCCCCTATATTAAAAAATAATTTAGTAATTTAAAAAAGCTCAAAAAGTTATGGAACTTTTCTGAATTCAAATTTGACCAGGTATTATACTCGTACAAAAAGTTTGGCCAAGGAATGATTCCCATTGACTTCGGGGCGAAGAGAACAAAATTATGACAACAATGTAGCATGAATAGTATTTGTATCAGACGTTCTTTTGCAAATCTTTGACCCCGGATACAATGAAAGGCATTCCCTGTTAATCATTTTATACGAGTGCAATACTTGGTCATGTTTGATTCCATAAAAAGCTCTAGGTTTTTTTTTTTGAAGTATTAAATTATTTTTGTATATAGAGGTGTGTAGCACCCGAGTGCTCCTATGAATTTTCGGTTATTACATCCAATATACTCTTACATTGAATGCAATAACATCTTACATTATGGGAAGAAAGGAGTATTGGATTAGTATACAATAACCAATATAACAAACAATGCACGTGATCATTGTGGAGAAGAAGTTCGATCAAGCACCCAACACTGTGCTTGCATAACTATAGAGAGATGGAACCACCATTGCAAGATATAATTTTTCTCTCTCTTCTAACTGGAGGAGTCCGGTCACCAATTCCAATTTATAAAGTAAGAGATATTCTTTATTGTTAATAAAGTTCGGGGAAAGACATTTTTTTCATGTCGGGTAGACGGTAATACTCCATCCAAAACAAATTAGTTATATTTTTAGCCTTTTCCTATTCAAACTTCTTTTAGTTTGAAAATCGGTCCCTTGGGTGACGGTTACTTAATTTGCGGAGGGGTGATTTCAGGGTGGTCCGGCAAGAAGCATGTGAATCACATTTTGCTATGTTTTCTTGACCCTGAACTCTTCCCAAGGCACTCCAACGATTGCAATCACCGTGATTCCATCTAGGACCATGCCCCGACCCAACCTCAGTTCCGTTTTCATTTCTCGGTTCCATATCTCAAAACTAAGTCATCCCTAAACCATTACTCCCAACACCAAAAGCCTCTCATGTGTGCTAGGGTGCACTGCTGTAAGCCATTGTATCTAGTTTGAGTGCAAGTGCTCAAAATACATGGAGAAGGTTGAAGGATTGTTGGAGAACATGCGATTGTTAGAGGTGGAGAGGAAGGGTCGAGGATTAGATGGACCGAGAAGGAAAGTACGATGAGGTGGAACAGCATGAGTAATGAAAGCTTTTGACAATGAAATTGACGTGTGTGGAAGAGGTGGTGTTTTTGGTGAGGAGAGTTTGGTATCCACTTAAGGGAATATCTTCTTGTTTACTTTCCTGCAAGCATTTGGGAAAAGGAAGGCGCCAGAGGAGGATCCATGGATGGTGGGGAAGGAGTTAATCGTCATGGAAGATATTCATCCATCCGACATACTGGAGGAGTACAAGTTCAACCTAGTACCAATTTGGGTGTGTCCCGAAGATGGCACTAGGGATGATGAATAGATCTATTGAGGAGACAATTGGTGGTGAGATTGGAGAGACAGTCAATGTGGGTATGGACTAGTATTAAGGGTAGCAATTGGCTGGGTTTAACTCAAGTTAAACAATTTTGAAATCCGCACCCAAATTCATAAAGAAGTTCTCTCTGCTCACCCACCAAAAAACTCATGGACAAAAAATCATGCCCCTGTCCAAACCGATGGATATCCATCGGTTCTCTCAACGCTTATAGGAAATACCCCAGGAAGCGAAAAAATGCATACCTATTCTAAGATTAACACTTTACAAATCAAATAAGCACAAGTGCGCAACACATTAATTCTCAAACTAAGTTTCTCACACAAGGAGATAGCACGACATCAAAGATTATCAAAACATGACATAGTACAACTTGGGAAGGGATTGGAGTAAGTTGCGAGGTTTTTTTCTTTGTTTCCTTAAATAAAAAATTGTGATGTGGGGATGGGTGGTGGGATAGGGATTAGAGAATATTGCCCCCCAAAGCCAGACTACCAGGTCATGTTTGAGCATATCCATGTGTATAGAATTGTGCCAATGCCACCCACGCCTAGTCGAGGTGGATCTAGGCACTGTCCATAGGCGCAAAAACATGTCAAAAGCATGTCCATTCAGGTAGGGTCTCGCGGGTATCCATGTCTGATGACCCACAAGTATATGGGGTCAATTGTAGCCCTTTTCGATAAGTAAGAGTGTCAAACCCAATAAGGAGCAGAAGGAAATGGCAAGTGGTTTTCAGCAAGGTAATGTCTGCAAGTGCTAAAATTGTAAGTAGCGGAGTAGTTTGATAGCAAGATAATTTGTAACGAGCAAGTAACAATAGTAGTAGAAAAAGTGCATCAAGGTAGCCCAATCCTTTTGAGGCAAAGGACAGGCCAAAACGGTTTCTTATGATAAGCAAAGTGTTCTTGAGGGTACACGGGAATTTCATCTAGTCACTTTCATCATATTGGCTTAATTCATGTTCGGTACTTTGATAATTTGATATGTGGGTGGACCGGTGCTTAGGTGCTGTTCTTACTTGAACAAACCTCCTACTTATGATTAACCCTCTAACAAGCATCCGCAACTACGAGAAAAGTATTAAGAATAAATTCTAACCATAGCATTAAACTTTTGGATCCAATCGGCCCCTTATGGAATAGCGCATAAACTGGGGTTTAAGCTTCTGTCACTCTCGCAACCCACCATCTAATAACTACTCCACAATGCATTCCCTTAGGCCCAAATATGGTGAAGTGTCATGTAGTCGACGTTCACATGGCACCATTAAGAGAATGGCAACATACATACCATCAAAATATCAAACACATATCAAGTTCACATGATTTCTCCCGTGACCTCAAGAACGAAAGTAACTACACACAAATGATAAACATGCTCAATCTCAGAGGGGTATTAAATTGCGTAATGGATCTGAACATATAATCTTCCACCAAATAAACCATATAGTAATCAACTACAAGATGTAATCAACACTACTAGTCACCCACAAGCACCAATCTATAGTTTTGATACAAAGATTGAACACAAGCGATGAACTAGGGTTTGAGAGGAGTTGGTGCTGTGAATATGTTGATGAAGATAGCCCTCCCCAAGATGGGAGAGTTGTTGGTGATGATGATGACGATGATTTCCCCCTCCGGGATGGAAGTTCCCTCACCGGAATCGCTCCGCCTGAGGGAAAAAGTGCTCCTGCCCAAGTTACGCCTCGAGGCGGCGGCGCTTCTTACTGAATGTCCTCCTCTGATTTTTTCTAGGTCAAAATGACTTATATACCAGAAGATGGGCACCAGAGGTAGGCTGAGGAGGGCAACACCCACTAGGGCGCGCCTGGGCCTCCTGGCGCGCCCAGGTGGGTTGTGCCCACCTGGTGGCCCTTCTCTGGTACTTATTTGCTGCAATATTTATTAAGTATTCCATAACAAATCCTCAAGGAGTTTCAGCTCATTTGGAGTTGTGCAGAATAGGTAGCTTGACGTAGCTTTTTTAGGTCTAGATTTCCAACTGCCAGAATTCTCCCCTTGGTGCATACCTTGCATATCATGAGGGAAAAGGCATTAGAATTACTCCAAAAAGCATTATTATACAATAAAACAACATAAATAACAGTAGGAAAACATGATGCAAAATGGACATATCAATGTCCATGGGTAACATGGCTATCCTTGGCCAGGATGAGATGACAATGGGTGAGTTTCTGCATATAAAGGTCAAGGTGAACATTTTGTAGTTGTTAATGTGGGCATTACTGTCAAGGTCGGTGAAGGAGATGAAGTGGGGTTTGTTCAAGTACAAGTACCTCCCAGAGTTTTATTTCACTAGTGACATCATCAAATATATGGACAAGGTGTGTTCATTCAATCTGGTTTATGGAGAGAAGTGGTAGTATGGGAATTGGATGAAAAACGGTAGGAGGACTCTGAACTTGAAAAATGGGCGAGGGAAGAAATAGAAGTGGAAGGAGGGAGACAGTGAAGTATGCGTTATGATTTTTGTGGACAATGGAGACTCTCAGAAAACCATAGTGGATCTTGGAGGAACGAATGGAGACGAGAAGAAGAGTAATTTAGTCTCGGGAGGAGGAGGTCATACCACCACCAACGGGAAATACATGCAAAGGCTCATGTCGGGCACTGATATTTGATAGGAAGAAACATTTGAACATGTGCGATGGAGAAGCTATATAATGGGAGAGTCAGTCTATACCGAATAAGGGAGGAAGAGGGAGACCCATTATGGGGGCAAGACCACAAAGATGCATGGTTTGTGTATGCATGACCATGTAGAGGAGATACTTGTACTGTCTCTGACCATATATATAGGGCCTAGTACATACCTTGAAGTTTACTTTGTACACTTGTTAGACCAATAATGTATTGTGTGTATGTTACAAAAGTATGTCTTCAAATTCACATTTTAAATGATTTTTCAATTTGTAGGATCGAAAGTATGTCTAGAGGGGGGGGGGTGATTAGACTACTTGACCAAATAAAAACCTAGCCTTTTCCCAATTTTAATTCTTGGCACATTTTAGTAACTTAGCACAAGTCAAGCAATCACAATACAATTCGAGCAAGCATGCAAAGAGTATATGAGCAGCGGAAAGTAAAGCATGCAACGTGCAAGAAAGTAAAGCCTGTTTTCC